CAACTTAGTGAACCCCCCTTCTCAAAACAAAGGGCTGGGGGTTTAACTTAGTGCTAAAATGCCTCTGGGTTCAATCTCCAGTACCAAAAAAAAAAAAAAAAGAAAGAAAAGAAAAGTAAAAGATGAAACAGACAAGCTCCTTGCTTCTCAAGTAGTTACAAGATAGAAAGGAGTTAGCTGATAAATTCACTATAAATGAAAAGAGAACATGTAGTCCCAGCATCTAGTACAGGGCCTCAAACAAAGAGACCCAATAAAAGTGGGAAAGAAATAATGAACACCATTTATTAGGAAGTAAGTATTAATGATTTTAAAAGGGGTGATGGGAAAACATCATAAAAATATTTTCCAAGTCACTGTCAGAAAAACTGGGACCCATCAGTGTCAGCCTGGCCAGGTCCTTGAACCCCCACATTCTTTTTTTCCTATAACGGAGTCTCCTGGGTCCTCAGGTGCATCCCTAGGGCAGAGATATTCAAACTGAACAATAAACAAATAAGCAGAACTTTTCTAGCATATCAGCAAGTCATCCAAAATCCAGCCACTTTTCACTATCTCCTTTCTTTACTTTGGTCCAAACTACTGTCTTCTTTCACCTGCATCACATGCAAAAGCTTCCCTATGTGGTCTCTGCCTTGGCACAGCCTTCCTACAGCTCATTCTCAAAACAGAAGCTAGAGTGATCCTTTTAACCCATAAGTAAGATCATGTTACTCTTCTGCTCAAACCCCACCACCACTACTGTCAATGGGTCCCCAATGAGAGATAGAGCTTAATCCCTTAAAACTGCTTTCAAGGCTTCAAGTAATCTTGTCCAACTATTCTCAATGGCATTCTAAACACCAGTCATACTCTTCCTGGGAAGTCATCAATCATGCTCCCACCTCAGGGCCTTTGCACCACTGGCTGGCTATTCCTTCTGCCTAGAATGTTCTTCACCAGATATCTGCATGGCTCCCTCCCTTTCCTCCTTTGTAAGGCCTTCCCTGGTCATCCCATTTTAACTTGCAACCACCCCCAATGGTCCTCCCTATCCTCTCCTTGATTTTTTTTTTAATTTTGTTCATCAATATCTGACATCTAACATACTTTGTTTACTTACTGTCTTAACTGACTAAAATATAAGTTCCACGAGGGCATGGATTTTTATTTGTTCATGAATGTCTCACCAGAAAGGTGGAAATGGAAAAAGAAAAAAAAAAGAATAATTGGATGAATGATAAATACTTTAGGAAAACAAGACAGGGAAAATAGGGGAAAATGCCAGTGTGAAAGAGGGTTGCAATTTGACATAGAATGGTCAAGCAAGATCCCACAGAGGAAATACTTAAGCAAAGTTTTGAAGGCAATAAGGGAGCAGGTCACAAAACCAGGACCAGCTAGATCACTGCCCAGAGCCCAGTGGAAAATGAAAATGTGGGGCCTTTGTTTACAAATGAAAGATTTTAAGACACAACTGAGCATTAAATCAAGTAACAATCCCTTCTAAGCATGGGGCCTTATGTAACTGCATAGGTCACACCCATGCAGCGGCTCCTGCACTCAGCCAGCCCTTCAGCTATCTGGAAAAAAAAACATTCCAGACATATGGAATAGCAAGTACAATGAGCCCAAGAAGGGAAAAGACTTTGGGAATAAGCAAAGAGGCCACACTTCTAAAAAAAAAAAAAACAGAGATTCATAGATGCCTTTTCCGGATATTCTGATCCCAAAGGTCTGAGGTCAGCTGGACTCTTCATTTTCAGTCTGCCCCAGCACACTCCTCTCCCACCCAGGCCAGCTGAAGGAACACTGGTCTACCCCCATATCCTGAGATGTATTTGGCTGCCAGCTTTTGGATATCACTTTGGATACCCAGCTTCCAATTTGTTCCCCTTGGAAACCAGGGAAGGCAATCAGGTCTCCGTGTTCACCCTTTGTCAGAGTCTCTGTTCTGGGAAGCTTCTTGTACAAAGAGCACTACTGACTTTTACCCAGTTTCCCCACTAAGGGACTGAAGTCCTGCCTGGGACCCAGCTGGGTGGCTGAGGAGCTGCCCTCAGTAGTCAGGCTTGCCTGAGAGTTCCTACTCCTCTAAGCTGCAGAGCTGTGCTCTATCCCCACACATGGAATGTTAAGGTCAACTGTTTGCCTGGATTCACTCTTAATTTCCAGGCACACTACTGTGGGCCCCTTGGTCCCCAACATATCTTCACTGAGTCTTTTAAACAACAATTTGAATATGTTGTAGATGATCCTGGCAGTGAATATTAGAAAATTAAACTCATTCAACTTCTTTCTGTTTAGTTAAGAGAAGAAAAAAAAAAAAAAACAGAAAACCTTTCTACCTTTAAGCTTCTACCTAAAATCTCATTTACCATTAAGTAAATCCAATTAATGTATACAGGTATTAATTAAAGCAAGAATATTACTTCACTGTATGGTATTATTATGTTCACTGGTTCTATACAACCAGTAGAGAAGTCTCCAAAAACTTCATCAACTACAGACCAGAGCCCAAGGTAATGAAATACATACATATGGAAAAAAACAGTGGTTCTCAACCAGGCATGAGTTTGCCTCCAAAGGAATGTTTGGCAATGTCTGAAAGAGGAGAGGGATGTACTACCTGCCTCCAGTGGGTAAAGGGCAGAGATACTGCTAAATATCCTACAATGCACAGGACAGACTCCAACAACAAAGTCCATATAATCAATAGTGCTAAAATTGAAAAACATTGTAAAGGACTATTTGTGACCGTAGACTATATTTCCCAATTCATCATACCCGAGTTACATCTTAAAATCAAAAGTCTTTATAAAAGCAATGAAAAGGGGCTGGGGATGTGGCTCAAGAGGTAGCGCGCTTGCCTGGCATGCGTGCGGCCCGGGTTCGATCCTCAGCACCACATACAAACAAAGATGTTGTGTCCGCCAATAACTAAAAAAAAATAAATAAATATTTAAAAATTCTCTCTCTCTCTCTCTCTCTCTCTCTCTCTCTCTTTAAAAAAAAGCAATGAAAAATCTGATTTACTCTCAAATGGAAGGGAGTAATAAGGTTATAAGTAATAGGATTTATACTGGACAAAACATGGATTAGGAAGTATTTGATCAAAGGTAGAGAACTACAGTGATCAGCTGTTTGGGAGCCTTAAGTAACTCAAGAGAAACCACTAAGGCCTGTGGGTAATGGGAGATCACCATGGGAAGAAAACATAGGAAATAACACTCCTGGATATCATAAAAATTCCTAGCTGTAGGCACCCTAGCCTAATAGGAAAGATGTACAGAAACCAAATAAAAAAGACTTTCCTTCTTCAGTAACCAAGATGCTGAGAGACCTCTAGATAAGAGTAGATATCAGAAGTAATATCTAGAGAAAAGCAAATCCTTTATCACTGTGTTAATTCAAGCTGATCTCAATAAAAATCATACCAGGAAAAGATCCTTAGCTCTTAACTTCTTCTCTTCTGTAAAAAGATTCATTCCACCTATGTGCTAGGCTTATTGTGAGAGTCAAATAAAATCAAGATGCAATAGGACAAATGCAATGCCTGACACATAGCAAGTATTAACAAAGAGTAGCTATGGGTATTTTCCAACTGGGCTTTTCTCTGGCTCTGACCCAAACCAGGCCCTTCTGATACACATGGAGAACTATAGGTCTAAGTTCAATTTAGAGAACTCCCAAGAGGTCAGAATAGGGGTTCTCCATGGCATATCAGTATATGACTGCACAGCAAGGTTCCTGCTCTCAAAATGAAAACTCAACTCAAAATGGATCAAGGACGTAGGAATTAGACCAGACACCCTTCGCTTGATAGAGGAAAAAGTAAGACCAAATCTTCATCACATCAGATTAGGCCCCGACTTCCTTAACAAGACTCCTAAAGCACAAGAAATAAAATCAAGAATTAATAAATGGGATGGACGCAAACTAAAAATCTTCTTCTCAGCAAAAGAAACCATCAGTGAGGTGAACAGAGAGCCTACATTTTGGGAGCAAAATTTAGCCACACACATCAGAGCACTAATCTCCAGGATATATAAAGAACTCAAAAAACTTAACACTAAAAAACTAAACAACCCAATCAATAAATGGACTAAGGAGCTGAACAGATACTTCTCAGAAGAAGATATACAATCAACAAATATATGAAAAAATATTCAACATCTATTGTAATTAGAGAAATGCAAATGGAAACTACTCTAAGATTTCATCTCACACCAGTCAGAATAGCAGTTATCAAGAATACAGACAACAAAAAATGTTGGTGAGGATGTGGGGGAAAAGGCATACTCATTCATACATTGTTGGTGGGACTGCAAATTAGTGCAACCAATCTGGAAAGCAGTATGGAGATTCCTTAGAAAACTTGGAATGGAACCACCATTTGACCCAGCTATCCCATTCTTCCATCTATACCCAAAGCACTTGAAAATAGCATACTTCAGTGAGGCAGCCACATCAATGTTCATAGCAGCTCAATTCACAATAGCTAAATTGTGGAAGCAACCTAGATGCCTTTCAATAGATGAATGGGTAAAGAACCTGTGGTATACATACACAATGGAATATTACTCAGCATTAAAAGACAATAAAATCATGGCATTTGCAGGTACATGGATGGAACTGGAGAATATCATGCTAAGTGAAGTAAGCCAATCCCAAAAAACCAAAGGCAGAACGTTCTCTCTGATTAGTGCTTGCTGATCCATAATAGGGGCGGGTGGGAAAAATGGAGGAACTTTGATTGGGCAAAGGGGTGGGATGGATGGGAAGGATGTAAGGGCACAGGAAAGATGATGGAATGCGACAGGCATCATTACCCTAGATACATGTATGACTGCACATATGGTGCAATACTACACCGTGTACAACCAGAAAAATTTAAAGTTGTGCTGCAATTGTGTACAATGAATCAAAATACGTATTGCTGTCATATAAACTCAATGAAAATAAGTTAATTAATTTAAAAAATGTTAAAATGACAGAGAGACCTAATGGTAAACATATACCTGCTTAAATATGCAAAATAGATTACTTCCATCCTTGGCAATGAGTCGGAGTTTCACTTCAAGAGAAAGATATGATCACATTTCTTCTCACTGCTGTCTATGGTGCTTCAGGAAAGAATACTGAAACTGATAGTCAACTCAAATGTTAAAAGGCCATCACATAGCTCAGAGTTAATTATAAGTAATTTTAATGAAACAATTTGTTCCCTCAGGTTTCCATGTTCTTCCCAGAGGTGTAATGCAATATACCCAAGACGCACACACATAAATTTGTAATAAACACAGCCCTCTCCACAGGTGTCACATTCACGGTTGCCAGTGAGCCCAGGGCTGTAATTTCACTTCTAAATAAAGAAGCATAATCGACAGAACCAGTACCATACAACGGGCACAACTGTACCCTTCCTGACTCATCATAGAGCTTGTTTACAAGGAGAACAGAATCCACCTCAGTGGGGCTTTGAGTAAATATATAGTAGTGAGATGGCGAGAGCAAATCGGGTGAAGGTGGCTGCCGGTGATACCAAAGTCCTGGTCCTCCTTGATCTTCCTCACCCAACAGATCTGTTCAGAGTCTGGGCAGGGCGCTGGAAACTGGAGGCAGCTACCTGGGGAGGGAGCACTAGCAGCCCGCCCCTCTGGCTGCAGGACCAGCTTGGGCGACCATCGCTGCTGCCAGCAGCGCGCGCCAGGCGACTGCTTGGGGCCGAGCCGCGCGGGGACGGCTGGC